TATAAATATATATGTGATTGAAGGTTGTCCCGAGTTAGTAGCACGTTACATTATTCTACTTGCGATTGCCTTGGAAAATCCGGAAACGCTTAATTTGCGTTTGAAAACACATCTTTTCATGGATGTATATGGTAATAGTTTATTACGCCCACTTTCATGTCAATACTTAGTCTATAAGACGAAATGTTTAATGAAAACATTTTCGGATCGCGAGATAACAGCACAAATAGCACCTATGATTTCAATTGAAAGAATGAAATATCGTGAACGTGACAATATAGAAAATGCATTTGAATTTTGGTCACCAAAACCAGGATACATATTCAATATAAAAGAATACTGGTCTACGAGATTACGCAAAGACTTGGGCATTCGCTATGACTTTAGAGAAGGTTCATTTGACTGGGACTTAAATATGGTGTTAAAAGAACGTGATGCTAAACAATTATGCCCACAGGTAAATTTCCATAAATTTTTTCTTAAATATATGAAATTCTATTATTTTTTTATTTTTAGGAATATAGTTATTGGCGTGAAACTGGTATAGCTTTTACTTTTCCAGAATATGAGCAATGTATGCCAAATAAAACATATTCCCTAGCTTTAGTACGTAATGGTAGCACTTTTTTACATCGCGGCTACGAAGGCGACATGCATACTGGCCCATTTTGTACATTCGGTTTAAAATCGACTGATTCACGTTTTACGAATAGTGCACACGGTGAGAATGATTATAGAGCAACAGACGTAACTGAACGCAATCTAATGGAATTATTTCATGAACTGCAGAATAAATCACCATATGAACATGATATTGAGTTCTCCCGTAGATATGGGTCGGTAAAATTGCTAATGGGAAAAATATTAAGTTGGAATGATTATGAACAAAACTATTCCCAAGATTGTGATAAAGCCTGGCTAAGCACGGAAGGTGTTAAAGTGCACTTTTTATCTTCTGATGAGATATTTTCGATGCAAAATACTGCTACTAATAGTAATTGGCAAAGTTTTTTTGATGTTATATTTGTGGGTTCCAATTACTTTTCATTCCTGAGAAAAGAATTATCTACAATAATGAATAAAAATGCGTTATTACTCTTAGAAACAAAGTTACGTACTGTAGAGAGAAAGGAAAATGTCGCTGAATATGAAAAGAAACTGAAGGATTTCGCTAAAACTATTAATTTGGCTCCAGTTATCAATTATAATGCGATTAATGGGAAAAACTCAATTTTGAAATTTAAAAAAGTTAATTGACTGTTTTTTTTATTTAGTACGATACTTTAACATATACATATAATATATTTAGGTACTATTCTCTATTAAGATAAATCTCTATTATTAAACTCTTTTAAAGTTTATTTCAAATAAAAATTATTGCATGCATTGTAACAATATTAAATGTTTTAGTTATTTATTTTAAAAAATAATCATATCGCTATTTTGAAACGATATGGACCCTAACCATATTAATATTCCTTTAAGAAAATTTCAAACAGAAAATGGAAGAGTTATAGAATCAATAAAACAAAAATGGAAGAAGTCATGTTTTTACAAGATTTGATGTTATTCCGACGCGTCTCACAATTGTGGAACCCATGTCTGAGGTACATAAACCGCAATAGGATATCCTATTCCTTTGTATTAGAACTTTGTGTATTACACTTCTAATATTAATGATTACATTTACAAAGCTCTGTTATTGAAGAACACTGATTGCTTCACTACTGTACTAAGGTACTAGTCCATGAAGTAGTTTTTATGTTCTATATAATGTCATTTTATTTTTATCTGTCGCTAACTATTGCTTTCTTTGACGTATGTTTTACAAATTGGTTACATCGTGAATTATACATATTTAATAGTGTTAACACTATTGGGAAGTGAACTTGTTCAAAAATTGTGATGATAATTAGTATGATAAATAGTCCAAAGGATCAATTGGTACGCAGTTGTATGCAGTAATAGATCATAAAGTGGTTTTTATATTCTCTACGATGTTATTTTATTTTACGCAAATGTAGACAAGGTGATACTAACTGCTTTTGTCGTTTGTTCTTACATTTTGAAACAATATATGGTACATATATATGCGGACACGCTTAAGATCAAAGAATAAAATAATTCTAGTCTTGGGAAGCACTTATAAAAAGAGTCACAAACACTGGGGTAAACAAAAAGCAGAAGAGGAACATAATCTAGATAATAACAGTAATGAATTTCCTCGCTGTTATATAGTTCGTTAACAAAGTGAACCAAGTAAGATCCTACAAAAAAGGGCTCACAACAACACTCCATACCAAATATCTAGAAACAATTTTCAAGTAACTTTAACTTGGAAGTGTTGAAATTTTCTATTACATATTTATGTTGTATATCTTACTATTTTAAAACTATTTCAAAATTTTAATAAATCAAACGAGTTAACTAGACTTATAAAACTATTTTTTTAATTTATTGTAATTACCTTAAAATAGTCGCTGATGAGCTCCATACTGTAATTCAGTACCAGCCATTCGAATTTTTTGGAGTCATGATTTCTTGAAATGTGTAAAATTTAATTTTGCTTTATTTTTGTTGTGTTTTAAAAAACTTGTGAAGATTCCCTCGTCATATAATAATATATTGTATTTGATATCATGTAATAGCTCTGTGCCAAATTTTATTATTTAATTAGCTTTGCTTTGAAAGTGTTCATATTATATATTTTAAGTTGAGTTTAATTTATTTATTTTCGTATATATTTTTAATAGATTTACACTTATTATAGTTCAATGTGAAATATATTTATGTTTAATGTTTTAAAGGAACTGCATTAAAATTTTTAAAAAATTATGCACGATATTTTTAAGTTTGTAATGTAAGAGTTTATGATTATTATATATTATTTCAATATATTTTTATATTATGTTACTGATCGTATAACTAATATTGACATATATATGGTTTGATCACAAAAAAAAGAGAAGTTTGGATTGCTTTTAGATTTAATCAAGAATCAGTTGTACAAAAAGCCATTGCGTTACAAAACCATAGAACTAAAGTGAAATATGAAACGTTGTCATCATCAGATATTATGTATCGAAATTCAAACAGCTTTACAATATACAAAATTGAACTGCAGTAATTAATTAAAATCTCAAATTTTTTCGTCTCATTGTTTAACTTTTAATTGCTTAATAAATTTGTTACACATTATAGTTCTAACTATTTTTGTTTCTCTTCTTTGAAGCCCATGTATTTAAATTAAATTCCAGATTATCATCTTTAAATACACGTACTTTATTGTAAGTACGGTTACTGTTATTATTGTCAAAATCGTCTTCATCCAATATACCTCTGGTCCGTATATTGAATTGATTTGCACGCTTATTTAAAAATTTTCTGTTCTGTGTTTGTTCCATTTCAATATTGACAACTTTACGCCTTGGTACATGTGAGAACGCTTTCATCCAATCGCCAGTTTTTTTAATATCCAACATAATACTAACCATTTGATTGAGAGTTAATGATTTCCCTGAACCGGCTCCCCACTGTAAATAATGTTCGAGTGGTAAACGCGCCATACGTAAACCCAATTTTTTAGCTTTTGCTAACGAAAGTGGCTCATTGTTAGACTGAAATTTAAATAATAATTATTTACATGCATATATAAAATCTAATAAAGATATTCACAAACCAGAGTAACAAACTCAGTAATAGAGTAACATTGTAACAATGCAAAATGGTAACGATAAAGATATGTCGAGAAAATATGTTTTATTGGTGAAATCTTAAACCCAAGCCACGATTATGCTTCAATAGCTAGAAATACTAAAAAAGGAATTACCCAAGTCCATTTTCTGTATTAGTGCGTGCGACTAAGCTGCAGTCAGTGGCTACTGTATTCCATATAATTGAACTTTGTGTTAGGCATTGAACTAAGTTTCTCGATTACCAAACTGATTCTTACTCATATTTGTGAATACCACTATTATGCTTAAAATTGGAATTATTTTATACCGTATCAACCATGGCGCCAATTATATATATATCATCAGGATTATATTCGTTTAAGTCGTTCCGACAATGTGGTGTTAAATATACTAAATTTTCTTTTGGAAATATTTCTGTAAAACATTTTTCATGAACATTCATTGGAAAATCCTGATGCATCATTGTAGGTATGTAACGATGCAGACTTGACATACAAACACTATTTATATTGGCACCACAAAAGTGCAAATCAAATGGTTCGTCATGTAAACGATTTTCTGCAAAACTTATCATTAACTGTTTTGAAGCATTAATAGCTTCTCTTTTGGTCATGTGTCGGTCGTACGAACAATCCATAATTAACTTCGGTGAGTATTGCATAGCACTTACAAGTCTAGAAATAAAAAACAAGAATTTTTAATAGCACAATTTTAAAAAATATATTTTATGTATATATACCAGTACCTGTTATTCATCCAATGATTTATTGTGGAATCATATATACGCAGGAAAAATGAACAATTATTTAGTCCATAAATTATATGATTATTTTCTTCGTTCTGGCGCAATATATCTTCTCTACGCTTTTGTATTTCTACCGCTCGTTCTTCTTTTTTTCTTTGCTTAGATTCACTTTTTACCTGTATCTGCCATAAATAGGCATAATACCGAGATCGTGCTGATTTGGTTGGTAATGTTAAAATATGTTCCCAATGTTTATCTTCAAAAAAGTCTAAAGATGGTACACGCCGACCTTCTTGATTTGCAATATCTACTTCCAATTTTAGAACTTTTAATCTACGTTCACGTTCCTCATCCGATATAACTGGGGCTGCGGGTTCACTGGTTTGTTTTTGCGAGTGCTTATCCCCAAATGGGTTTTTAAAATTTTGTACTATGGTCTGTGTTTCTTTATTTTCTTCTTTAGTTATATTTATTTTATTTGTTTCTAACTCTATAGTATGATTAGTTATGTTTTGAGTTAAGGCTGCATTAGCTGCTAAAGAACCTGTCACTTTCTGTACTTTTAATTCATCTGCAGTTTCGTCCTTCTGTTTTAGCGCTGCTGAATTTTTTACATCTGTTGTAAGTGCCCGTTTATATATTCTGACAGCATTTATAAATACTTTTCGTTGATTTGATATTGGACTTAGTCCAATTACATTAAAAACAGCCTTTAACATTTTATTATTTAAATCATGAACATTTGAACGTGCGGTAATAACACAAAGAATAACCTCAAATTCTGTTATTACTAAAAACAGCTGTGCGTGTGTTCAGTGAGTGACACTTCAAAATCATATGTTCAAAAGGAAATTTGGTAACTCCAAGAATTGGCAATAGAATCAACAATATAAATTAATTCTACATAATTTCATATATGGTATATAAATAATATAATAAATTTAAATAAAAAAATTCACGTCGTTATATTAATATAAGTACAATATATAAAGCATAAATACATTATTTCTACACGTCAGTTCTTAGGTTCGTTTCGTACACAACACTCTTTTTACCGTACGGCAACCGTTTATCTACTCACTAAACGTATGCCAATGGATGCATTTATATACGGCGCGGTGTTCATCGCATGTGTGTGTGCTTTTATTTTTGCTGGCGGTTTTTGTGTTTGCATTGACATTCAGTGAATTTTATTATTAAAATAGTGTTTTTATTATGTATAAGTAAAAAATTAAATTTTTTATATATAAAACAGTTTTAGTAATAATAAAAATCTAAAGTTAAAGGTGACGGGAGAAACCTGGAGCAGCCAAAGTGTTAATAAGTAAAAAAAAAGTAATGAAACGAGATTGTTAAACTCTTCACATTACCTGCGGTTATTATTATGGATAAAATTGATACAGTATTATTAATACAAGAAGTGTCATTGAAACCTGTGCTATGGGATAAATATCAGTCTAGCTATAAAGGCAGAAATGCTACAAAATATGCATGGCGCGAAGTGTGCAGAAAGCTCAACCCAAAGTTTGGAGAACTTAAAACCATAGATCAAGATACATTTTGTAAGCAAATTAATATAAAAAAACATATTAAATTATTATCCTTCCAAAGGGTATGTCCAATCCACTTGTACTTCGTGCGCGCTATTTCATTCTCAATAGGAATTTGTTTAGATATTTGCCACAAGGAAGCATTACTTATCATACGAGGCTACCAAATACCGATTATACGTCGTAAACTTCTATTTACTGCCGTAGATAAGCACTGAATTAAATATTTGAATTTTGATTTCTCGTTTTATTGTTTTATTTGACCATACATTGGAAAACCCTGAGAAGGTATCAATAACAACCGCTTTTCTTTGCTTTATATCTGTATACATATATTTTAAACTGATAAACGTTTGAAAAACGTCGAAAGTATGGCTATCATCGCTTCGGTATCTGCTTTGAAAAATACCGCGGATATCCTATCGTTATCAACAGCTTTTCCGTCTTTCATTGCTTTAATTGCCGCTGTAAGTGCTGATGAAGTAAGTGCTGTATTTATATACCTATTGTCGTCTCGTTCGAATTTCGATTCTCCCAACACTGTCGTCGTGTATTGTGTTCAATGTTTATCTAGGTTGTACTTTACCTTAAGTTTTCCTCTGTATACAGTAACATAATGGGCCAATAGACCTAAATGGATTCCCTAGGAAACACCGATATAATCTCACCTAACCTAATAGGATGGAATTCTTTATAAATGTTAAATTGAATTTCTTGTATAAATTTTTAGAAAAGAAAGTAATTTCAAACTAAATCACAATTCTTTCGTAAATGAAACACATTTCTCTCTTAGTACAGATAAATAATTTTGGATATAATTCTATTACTACTGCACTATTTTATTAGTTTTAAGTACAGTGAATGTCAGTAAAACTAGAAGAATTTGCAATATATAATTTTTAGAAAGAATATTTGTAAAATATTGTAAATTTAATTTATACAATTTAATTTTTATTTTATTTTAGTTGCAGAAGTAATCAAGAAATGGACTAACCTTAGAGACTCCTACTTAAAGTATAAGAAAAAACTGAAAGTGAATACAAAAAATGGATCTTTAAGAATAAAAATGAAAAAGTATATATATGCTGATCAACTGGAATTTCTAACCCCAATTTTCAATCAATCAAATATAAATGAAAAGATTAATAAAGAAAAAGACCATACTGAAGCTGAAGATTCAATTTCTGATTTAAAAATTTCAAAACCATCAAGAATCACCAAAAATAAAATAAAACTTAAAAAAAATATCAAAACTGATGACAAAGTTTTGAAAGATACAGAGGAGGAAAAACCCTGTAGTAAAATGGCTTTCTTACAAAGTCTCATGCCTCATCTGGAAAAATTTAATAATACAGAATTCCTGCAATTTCAAATGGGAACTTTAAAAGTTATAGAAAATATATATAAAACAAACTCCCAGCAAGTTCCAACATATTTTCAATCAAATTTCATCAATGAACCCTCTTCTTCTGTCCAATTCATCACACCTGATAATATTAAGCCTTTATCAGTGACAAATGTAGAACCTATATCCATATCACCTATAATTTCTGGAGATAGTCACCAAGCTTATTGTTTTGATGAGAATTCCGCCTTGAAAGATGAGGATGACAGTATTGATATTAATATGTTAACCTAAATTTAAATAAGTTTATTTTAATTTTATTGATTTCTTAAAGTCTTGAACAAACTGTATACAAATTAATTTAAAATTTAAGATCACCATTCTGTAATGATCACGTAATGATAATAAAACAAAACTGTGTTATATTCAAAGTCTTAATAAAGTGTTTGAATTTATATTTAACTCAAAGTAAAGTTCCAACAGTAAAAGACATCAAACAAAGAATGGTGCACTCTATTTATACCGGTACTGTTTTTTTTTCCACTAAGCTCTTATCCTTCAACTTTTTTTCTTCATTAATTAAAACTTAAGAACATCAATTAAAAATTCTATCATCCAAATACGGTTCTATTACTTATTTCATTAATTGTGCAATAAACATCCAAGCAATTTCTTCCGTTATAATTCAACTTGTGTAACCTGTAGAAATAATAATCACCAGAACAAACCTTAATAGGATTTGAGCCCAGGGTCTGTGCGCTGTAGTTCTAGTACGCACGCACCATGCGATTAGGGTATTCCTACCCCAAACCATGCTTGTGTTAAGAAAAAACTGAAACCAATTAGGGTCATGTTCAAGAAACCTGACCGCTTTAATGAAGCGGAACTATAGGTAAATAGCGTTTAAATTTATGTATATTTGAACAAAAAAATATATGGAAAATGTATCATTAAAAAGTAATATGTATCAAAAACCATGTAGTGTGCAAGTAACCAGAATATTGACATAAATAAATATAAACCTTTTTTATTTTTACTAATTTTTTTATTTTATTAAATATCAAATTAAGATTTGGTCGTTTCCATTGGCATAAGTTGATTTACTCATGTTAAAGAGCTTTTTTGTGTCAGAAAGTTTTGTGAAAGAGCAAGGAGAACTATTGTTTGTTTACATTTCAATTGTTAGCAGTTAATATTTAGATTTGTATTGTTATCAGAAATTAATTAATTGATCACGGAAGATGCAGAAAATGCAAAAAAGTTAGTGTAATATATATATAGTGTAATATATATTATGAAAAACTAAACATTTTAAAAAATTCTTATCTCGTGTTTTTTTGACTTGTTTGTTTTTGTTTATTTACATTTTATTTCATGTGTCAAATATTTCAAATTTCGATCATTTTCGTTTTGGGAAATATATTTTGCAATATTGCATTTGAAATTTTTAGTGTGATTTCCCTTAATTTATTCTTAATTAAGTTGGCAAGCACAAAAGCTCTTTATACGACTAATCAAATAAACAGCTTTAACGAAGGAGAATACTTTGATTAAGCTTAAGTTAAACAACAATTATTAGTGTAGTGTATTTCTATACTCTTCAAATAAAAGCAAAAAGTTAAAAATCAGAACATAATCATATATTCTCTATGTGAAAATGATTTTAAGTACAAATCTGATGGTGTTTTTAAACCTTTTTGCTTAAATAAACTACAAACTACAAATTTTTTTTTAACTAAAACAAGTGTTGAAACTGTTTAGCTATTTTTTTTTTAATTTTGAGCAGGTTAATTAATTAAAATTCAAATAAGTTTTATATAACATAAAAAAACACTTCACTAACTATCTTCACAAACTAATCTTTTGGTATTAAAACACGAAACAGTCAAATTTAAGTACATACAAGAACAGACATATCTTATAATTGTTCTAATTAGACGCACTTATAGCATTTTTATTAGGACATGATTATAATTGCTGCAGAAATATTGAGCTTATTGCAAAAATACGTTAATTATGATAACATGAACTTACTGTAAATATCAGCAACTCTTAAATGCTGTGAAAATTATACCAAAATTATCTTAAAATATAGCCAATGTAAATGTAATTTAAATTTTGTGTATAATACCGTTTTCGATTATTAAATCTAAATGTGCATCCACACTGAAGCGAACGCACGAACTTTTGCAGGTACGATTACCTGCGAACGTTCATTCGTTCGCAAGTGTTGTCGAGCGGAATATATAACAGTTGAGATTAATTTATAGCACTCTAAATAATTTCCCATAGTCGCAAAATTAACTTGAAATTAACAGCTGCTATATGTGACATTCGTAGGGACCTCAAGATTGATCCCATCAAAAAATACATGAAGGATAGAGCCCTGAAATTATTTGCGAAAACTGACAGATTTACCAACACCGCGTTATCAAATCTCAGAATTGTTACAGGTTCCTCGGGGAGGCTTAGTCTGATGAAGTGATAAACAATAATCCAGTCAAAGCATAAAGAGGGGTTTTGAAAATACCTCGAGTTAGGAAAGAGTAAAAGTGCTCAAGTGCACTGGCTCAAAGAGCTTCAACATAATAATGTATGACTTCACAAATATAATGTAATTTGATTATCATATATATTTATGAGAAAATAAATGCCTACAAACGCAATTGGGAAACAAAATTTTGGTAGATCAAAAGTAAATCAAAATTGAATCTAAATTTACCACTTGAAAACCCCATAAATTTATTGGTTCGACATGCTTGCATTGGAAAATTGGCCTCAAATAAGTAATTATTTACTGAACACTTTTTCAATAATACTACTTTCCATGTATTGAACATACCCAATCGAAACTGACAAATAAAAAGCGGCAGCTATAAGTTGTCAAATTCGATCAACAAACTCGCTAAGCACGTCTAGTTATTGAAAAATTGTGTAAAAATAAATAAATAAATTGGTTTGTTAAGTAATTATTATATTAATTATAAAAACTTTATCTCAAAATGGCATTGATATGTGCGAGTAAGTAGTTTACATTCTTGAACTTACGTTAGTGAGGTTATGAAGCTTGATTTACTTACAATTTATATACAATATAAATTAATTATTTTTTAGTTACAAATGAAGTTCCAGATACACCAGTTCTATCTCCCATCTCAGGGGCGGTTTTCGAAAGACGCATTATAGAAAAATATATATTGGAAAATGGTTGTGATCCAATAACCGGCAAAGAAATGAAAGCGGCAGAATTGATTGAAATAAAAACACCACCAATTGTTAAGCCAAAGCCGCCAAGTGCTACTAGTATCCCTGCTACATTGAAAACTATGCAAGATGAATGGGATGCATTAATGCTGCATGCATTCACACAACGTCAGCAATTACAAACTGCACGTCAAGAACTTTCCCATGCACTTTACCAACATGATGCTGCTTGCAGAGTTATAGCACGTTTGAATAAGGAAGTAGCAGCTGCACGTGAAGCTTTGGCTACACTTAAACCACAAGCTGGTATTGGTGCATCAACAGCTCCAACAACAATACCACAACCAGCAATTGCATCCGAAGCTGCTGGTGTTGCTACACATCCGGTTGAACAAGCTGGCATGAGTGCAGAAGTCATACAAAAATTACAAGACAAAGCCACGGTATTAACACAGGAACGTAAAAAACGTGGTCGTACCGTGCCCGAAGATTTAGTTACGCAAGATCAAATTAAATCATTTTTGACAATTGCTTCTCATCCAGGTTTGCACTCAGCATCTGTGCCTGGCATTTTAGCTTTGGATATTAATAGTTCTGATCATAGTAAAATTTTAACTGGAGGTAACGATAAAAATGCTACTGTTTTTAATAAGGATACGGAACAAGTTGTGGCCATACTTAAAGGACATACTAAAAAAATTAGTAAAGTCATTTATCATCCAGATGAAGATACTGTTATAACTGGTTCGCCAGATATGTCTATACGTATTTGGCATGTACCAACTTCGCAGACACAACTTTTGCTACGTTGTCATGATGGTCCGGTAACAGGACTATCATTGCATCCAACAGGAGACTATGTATTATCGACTTCTTCAGATAAACACTGGGCCTTTTCAGATATACGTACTGGACGTTTGTTGACTAAAGTAAAATATCTTATTATATCACTTAATAAGGAGTAACTTTTGCTAATTGAATGTTGTTTTTTTTAAGGTTATTGATACTGCTGAAGTGGGCTTAACAACAGCACAATTTCACCCTGATGGACTAATTTTTGGTACGGGAACCGATGATTCACAAGTAAAAATTTGGGATTTAAAGGAACAAAGTAATGTTGCCAACTTTCCTGGACATACTGGCCCAATATCGGCTATATCATTCTCTGAGAACGGTTATTATTTGGCAACAGCTGCTGATGATGCTTGTGTGAAACTCTGGGATTTACGTAAATTAAAAAATTTCAAAACTATACAACTGGATGATGGTTACGAGGTTAAGGATTTATGTTTCGATCAGAGTGGTACATATCTTGCTATTGCCGGTACAGATGTTAGGTGAGTAATACGTTTTTAAGTTTTAATCAGCAAAAATATATTTTTAAGCTTAATTTTACATATATTTTATCTCAATTAAAAGTGAAATCCAAAATAAACTTTTAAAATGTCTTCAAAAAACATTGGAAACGCTGTAGATATTAGTTAGGATTATTCTGCGCGGCATGCTTTTTGAAATGGTCCAGCCAATTTTCCATACGATTTTCTTTAGCTAAGGCGCGTCTTGAATTTTCTTTCTCCATTCTGATGCGACGACGTTCTTCCGCTTCAACCTTCTGCACCAGCTCAGGTGGATACTTATCAAGTTTATTAAGCAACAACTGTAAAATTTATTGCATGTTAAAAGGAAATATATTGTCAAACAAAATGTTAGGGGTATTCACGATCTCACGCAACGAGCTCGGTAACTGAGTAACATACAAACAGTGCAAAGCATCGCTATTATTTATATACGAATATTCGAAATAGATTTAACATATATGTATTTTTTTATTAGCACTTTGCAATATTACCGTGTTACTCTAACGCCGACCACGTTACTCGATATTGTGCATACCCTCCTCATGGTAACTTACCAATAAATGTTCTTGTATTTTCTGCACTTGTTCTAAAGAGGCAATTTGAGGATACTCAGTTTCACAAGAATCACTTGGTAACGTTTCCGTTTCTACTTCTGGCTTATCCATAACTTCTTTAGTTTTATTATCTTTTCTTATAGTATCTTCTATGCTTTTAAGTAGTACAGGTACAACAGCGTTTAATCTCAAGGACATTTTACTAACAAATAAAAGGATGAGATATAATCTGATATAAATGTTATACATAACTTACTCCTCTTTGTATGCCTTATCGAAGTTGTCAACTGCAATATTTGTCAATTGCTTCAAAGTATCAGCACGTGCTTGTATCAATGCTGCATCCTTAGCAAATATAGGACTTTCAACAGCCTCATCATATTGTTTTTTCTTCAAGCAAATATTTATTTTTATTAAAAACTAAATGTTACTAACAAACAGTAAGTTTACTAAATTACTTACAAATTTATAATGTATCATCTTGACTCTAAGATTCAGTAGACCCAAATTCATGACACGACTATTAAAATTAAATATTTTTTGACGCATTTTCTCATAGCCCTTAAGTACAATATATATATATATATTAATTGAAATTGATTAAGTAAAGTACATAGCTAGATTTACATTGATCCATATGCTAGGAGTTAAGTAACGTTTTTCAGCCAAATACGGTCGTACGATCTGATTCATATACAGTTCCAATTCCTTGGCTTCTTTTTTACCTGCAATATGCTTTTCAGAAATCTCCATATTTGTTATTTCTGCTGGTTTGATTAACTTCGGTTTTTCAGCATCGATATTAACATCTCGAGAAGCTAATGCCTCTTCGTCTTCGATGTTATCGAAGTAACTCTAAAAATTTACAATTGTATTTAATATTACTTAATAATAATTATGAGTTCTTATAATTTACAATCTTTTTTAAACCAGATAAAAACGTTCTATAATCATCCTGTGTTTCTACTAGGAGTCGCTGATATTGATTGGTAACATCTTTTAATTCCCTTTCTAATTTAGGACGTGTCTCCCGTATTTTCCTAAGTTTTAAATAAGTTTCTTGCATTTGAACAAAAGCATCTGCTTTTAGTTTTTCTAAAAACTCTGTTGCGAACTATAATGCATCACAATTATTATTATTTTTATTTTTATTTATTCAATTTCAATTTACAACATAACGAACCTTGTTAAAGTCTATCATTTTTTGATATATTTTTTCTTCATTTTCTGCATTGCGTTCCCTTTCCAAAAACCGTTGTTTTGTGGAATAAATGGTAAACTTGTTGCGAGTAATTTCACGTAATATTAAAATATCGCTATTGTAA